GAGCAACATCAAATCACATGTTTGAACGTTTGAAACCACGAAAAGCTTGCAAACGCGCGGCTAATGCGAGCCGATATACGCCGAATCGCGATTTCGGCCAAACATGGTCACGGAAAAGAGGTCACAGGTCAAAGGTCATTGGGGTCAGGGTCATGAAATTTTCAGGGTAGGTGTAAAATTGATCAATGCGATGGTACTGAAAGTTTCGTCGCGATCGGCCGCTTTTTACGCGAGTTATTCGCGAAAAACCTTAGGGGGGTTGCATCATCAACCTCGGGTCAAGGTCAGGTCGGAGCCCCTCAGGTCACGAAAATGGTTTGAAGGAGGTCATATCGCATATCATTCGATTCGGCAGGTCTTCCTGAGTCCAATGGTGGCCTTCCCGACTCTCTAGCTCCATCTGATCAGGAGTTATTGACGAACAACTTACATGGCCTTAGTGACGTCATAAATGACGTCACGCAAAGTCAACAATGCTAAAGTCAAGCACTGGACCTTGCAAGGAGTGCATGAAACCATTCCCGGTGCCGGAATAGCAGCTCCCAATTTCCCTTGTTGACTTAAAGTGGTGCTAGATCCTGTATTATACTCAATTATGACGTCATAACTTAACAGATTCACGTCATATATTTAGTGCTTGACATCCAAATGATAGCTTACATATGACAGAGAAGGTATGCAAAGTTTTATGAAGTTTGCTTCACTAGTTGTGGAATAACAAGCAAAAAACTTTTGCGGAAAGGCCGCTGGCCTCTCGCTGGAGCGTTTCCGACCAGTGTGCGATGGCGCTCTATCACAGACACCCCGCCCACGGCAGGTCTCTAGTCGGCCGGCTAACCGGTGATGCCAACTTTTGTGTCGGTCATGTGCCGTGTTATGCTCCCAGTTGCGGATGGTTACTTTTAGAAAATTGTCGAAACGCTTATAATGACCACTGAATACGTTCGACTCTAGCTTTTTTAACGATTGTTTCGAGGTGTCAAGTCATGAGTATTTGCTCAGTTGTTTTGTGTGCTGTTTTGTACGAGAGAGATGAGGCATCGTGAATGATGAGTGTTTCTAGTCGATGCATTGTGTGATGTAGCTATACATAATGAAGACATTCATTCATGTGTTTTTGTTTAACACATCGATGTGTCGGAATGCACAGAAACATGAGAGAACAGACAGAAAACATCGGACAAAACTAAATGCAACATTGAGCTTTGAACGACTGCGTTTCAGTGTAAAACGGTGAGCATTCACCCGAATTTCAGGTTCCGCAAATCTGCTGTTGAATGTGTTTTATATCCACTTAGGCGCAGCTAACCCCAATTTCTTCTGTTTTGTGGATTCTATCGCAATATCGGACTCCTCCCAACATCCAACATCTCCGATCGAAGCTGCCCAACTCCGCTCACATAGATCCTTCAAATGCCTTGTAGCTCGGCCCCGAAAACCATCAGGCTTCCTCGCAAAATGGCACGCTTAGCTGGCAGTAATATATATGCTAATATTCGAGCTGGCTCGTGGACGCCATTGGTCATTGCTGGACAGCGGTCGGGCACGAGGCTCGATTACGGCCGATGTCGTCAGCAGTGGCGTGAACGGTCGCCGGCCGGACGGACACGGCCAGCGCTCATTTCCGCAGTGTCTAGACGTCACTAGACCACAATACGGTCTACTGGACTACAACGTGGTCCAGCGGTCTAGAGCCACGGTCCGACGGTCCTCGCCTGCGGTCCAGCGAAGGGATATTGCCGGGCGGACCAGGAATTGGTCTGTCGGATCGGCGTTGTCGCTCGCTATGCATGAGCTCGGCGTTGGAGCCCGTCGCCATCCCGTCTGTGTCGACGGCATCCGTGCCTCCCGGGAGTTCGGTATCAGGTGCGCTGATGACGCTATTGCCCGGTTCTCATCTGTGTGTTCCCCGTTGGGAATACGGGCCCGACGCCGCAGGCCGCGATGTCTTGTGGAATTGTGGAGAGTATGTTTTGTGCCATCGTGGCTCTTCTCTCCTCTAACCCTTTCTCTCTCTCTCTCTCTCTCTCTCTCTCTCTCTCTCTCTCTCTCTCTCTCTCTCTCTCTCTCTCTCTCTCTCTCTCTCTCTCTCTCTCTCTCTCTCTCTCTCTCTCTCTCTCTCTCTCTCTCTCTCTCTCTCTCTCTCTCTCTCTCTCTTTCTCTCTCTCTTTCCTCTCTCTCCTCTCTCTCTCTCTCTCACTCACTACTCACTTACTCACTCACTCACTCACTTTCTCTTTCTTTTTCTATCCATCTCTTATTATATCTCTCCCTCTTTTTCTCTTTCATTTTCCCCTCTCTCCCTCTTCATCTTTCAATCTGTCTCACTCTCCTTATCCCCTTCACTCTCTCCTCTCTTCTCTCCCTCTCTCTCTCTTTCTCTCTCTCTCTCTCTCTCTCTCTCTCTCTCTCTCTCTCTCTCTCTCTCTCTCCCCCCTCTCTCTCTCTCCTCCCTCCCTCCCTCCCTCGCTCCCTCCCTCTCGCCTTTCTCTTTCCCTCCCTCTCCTTGGAGACGGCTGTTCGTCCGGGCTCCGAGCGACACGGACGGCGTGGCGTCGGCTCAATGCACACAAACAACGGCCGACCTAACGGCGCACAATTGGGACCTGTCTCCAAGGAATTATCTGCGAGGGACGTGCCTTAAAAGGATCGGCTTAAACTGACGGAAAAAGCGGATGAGAAGTTTCGTTAACGCTTGGAAACTGGTCACAGAAAGCCGCCGATTTATCAAAAGCTTTTGCTGCTGACGCTGCGAAGTCAAAGAGCTTTGCTTATATTTGGCACCGTTTTATCATCACTTCATTTTTGCCTGCGGCTAAGGGATAGCTCAGTGAATATGATTCGATTCATGACCGTAGCGGGAGCGGCCGATGCGCTGCCGAGCTTGTCAGCCAAGCTATGATGAATGATACTCGACTTGACAAGCATGACGCCATTAGTGTGAATAAAAGGGCGCGGTTAGATGGGCCCGCGTCTCTGTCGCGAGGGAAGAGCAGAGCAGCGTTACTTTACTTAACTGGTTCACATGCACTATCCGGCTGGCTGGTGCGTGTAACGGGCCATTATCCAACACCTGTTAAGAGGCTGCGTTGGAACTTTAACGGAGAGCTGCGTTTGGTCGGAAAAGTATGTGGAAAGCGTCCAAGGGGTAAATGCTCATACGTTTTTTGCATTTGATGATAAATTAATTATGAAGCATTCAGCAAGGTATAGGTATTACTAGGTCATTATAACTCGATTCTTCGAATGGCCAGCATTAGAATTGCTTTACATCTGTCACGCATTTTGATAGGTACCTAGTTATCGATGTCTTGGCAGTTGGCTGATTTTATTTCGTTCTCGAAAAATTGAAGTCCGGTTCCTGTTTTCGTACATTTCACGAAAGAAATGAAATAGCGATGCTTCATCCTTCGCGCAGCATTTCCATCATACTTTTTTCGGTTTCTCCGCCTCTTGACAGCGTCATCATCTCCTGCTTCCTCTGCGGCAACGACGTCGTCCATTTGCACCACAATAAATGTGTGCTTATCCTCTGCCGAAAAACGGCACCCGGCTGGTGGCTGGGTGCGCCGGAGAGGGGCCATCACGACTGTCGGCTATCTCAATATTATTCCAACCGGCATCCCGGAACTGGCAGGCAGACAGAGCCGACGTCTGCAGTGCAAACACCATCAGCGTCGGCTCCCCGGCAGACGAGAAAAATGTGCCCAGCTTCTTACGCAATGGAGTGAAGTGCGGGTGGATGTCGAGCTACGTTTAGCGAGAAAACAAGCGGAATGTAAGATGACACACATAAGTTGTATGGGCGACAAACATCGGACAAGTCATCGGATAGTGGCAGAACCACCCTCTGACCATCGTATTTAAAAACAGCTCCGATTAGCAGTTATCATTGAGAAGGAATCGTCGTGGCAAAAGCAGCTATACGTATTTTCGGGATCAGTCAATTATGATTCACAGTGGTGTACATACCTTTTGAAAAGAGCATCCGGCTAGGGATAGATGCTGTGGAGTGTGGAGCAGTCTGTTGACTGGCCCCTGAGTGACCGGGCGGCATATGGTCGGCTGGTATGACCTACTGGGGACTGAGCGGAGCAGTCGGGTGATGGTCCGGCTGGGGGGGGGAGGGGGAGGAGGGGTTCGTGGTGCGGGCTGCCGCGCCGATATGACCACTACTCATCAGCCGGACGCCCCCGCGACCCGCATACAAACGGGGCCTAAACGAGTCGGCCGTGCGATGGTGGGGGCAGATGGACCCGGGGAGGGAGGGAGTGCGTGGGGTGTGCGACAAAGCGGCACCCGCATTTAATAGCTATATGGTATTGGTTAGGGCATTCCCCCTACATGTAATTCCAAGGGCCAAGGTACTATGATTTTGCCCGGGCTTCCTTTTCTTTCCCGTCGGCCGACCGCTCTCGTCTAACCAGCGTCACTGAACGTTAGGCTGTACCGCCTCACACATGTGTCGTGCGGCGCAGTCTACCCTGACAGTGGGCCTGAACGCTCGGCGCCCGGCGAGTGTTGCAGTGTCTGTGAAGGCTTTAGAAATCTGATGTTCAAGGCGATGATTGTGTCCGCTTGCTGGCTAAGTTCTCCAAAGATATTGGCCAAGTTCGGGAAGCCGCTCATGCGCGACCGTCCGCCAGACAGTTGGCAGCTATGTCCGATCAACGGGCGTGTCGCGGCGTCTCGACTTCAATCTGGGCACGTAGAAGTCTTGAGCGATCAATTTTCATATTTCGTAATTCGTTTACATAATGCATTGCTTTATCGTGTTTCTTTGTACTTACTTAATTATAAACTTTATGCTGAAAAAGGTTTATGCATATTGCTCAAAAGACGTACCTATATTGATTAGCACTACAAGACATTTGGCAAGCTGGAAAAATATGCATCCCATCCCGTGTTCTTCGTTTCTATTCGAAACAGTTACGTGCGTTCTTGCAATGAATCAGGGTCACGAACGAGTTGACAAGCAATGCATGTATATTACACGCAGGTCCCGGAACCGTCACACATTGGTCAGAACATGACAAAGTTTTAGCACATTATTTACACAGTAGCATGGCCGCGCACGTCACATTCTCAATGTAGCGTTTACAATCCCCGTTGTGTGATATGGGCTACAGCTAGTCAGCATAACATTTCGGAGAAACACTTTGGACATAAGATAAAAGTGAACAGGCACCACGATTGGAATGTTGCATGGTTTGCCTTTTACTTTATCACTGATTACGGAAAGGTATGACGAAAGTTATCGGTCCCTCTCAAGAGCATCGGAATCTTCTAGAAGCGTATGCCGCATTCGTTAACAGTCATTGTGTGTTTATGCGCCTGCCTACGTAAAGCATTTCACACATGATTGGACAACTGGACTGGCAGTAAGACGAGAAACCCTTGCCATGACCGTTATTAGGACTATTATTAGGTACGCCACTTTTCATTTTTCAATATGTGTTCCACAGAGGTTGCGAGAATTGTAATTCTAGTTTCCTTACCTATGAATGATCGGGCTACCTACCCAGTTAAGCGACAATTTTCATGAGAGTCAAGCTTGAGTCATGACTACACTCGCTGGACCCCCGCAGGCATCTCGCAATTAATGAATGCGATTAATGAAAATAATAGTGTTTGAGATGAGTGACTTGAGATCAAACCGTCTTCACTCCCTCACGCTGAATGACAAATACTGGCTACTGAAACACATTGCGTCGTAATATCTCAACGCGGCATTGTACAAAAGCAGCAATTGACATCTACTGATGCGCAGAAATGTAGCTCTTTAAAGCTACAAGCCTTAAGATGCGCTTTAATTTTTGTATAGTTAGGTACCGCTAACTGACGCAAACATTCAAAGATTAACGTGAAATGGTCCACAAAGTAGCCAGCTTGGTATTCGATTTATTGGTATTTGATACTTTATTTGATCTCATTTCAGGCCGAACGGTCAAACATGAGTGAAGTTTTTATTGCATTTAGTCAGCTGCTACTTTATGTGTGAAATACCTAGTGCTCTCTCCTTTTGTGTCTCTCGAACTGGCTAAAACGCTTTGCCGCTCTGATGCTTCTCGCTTCTTAAGACTTTAATCTAGGATTTCGAGCCGATTCCACGTTATTGATTCTCGGTAAGCGGGCAACATCGAAACTATTGTGTCATATCTTGTGCGCGCAGGCAGATATGGTCCCTTATGAATCACCCACGATAGACATAAGCGAACATAAATTGTGGAACAAAAATGTATGCCGGACCGGTTTAAAGCACTAACCATGACTTTCGAGCCATTAGATTGTCCAATAAAATATCGAATAAATTGAAAACTGAATTTGTGCCGTCAGAATTGTAATCACTTTGTTGTTGTTTTCTGTGTGCCGTCTTAAAACCATAAGAAGTGTTTATTGAACTGCGAGCACGCTATACCTAATAACACTTAAACTTACGCAAAGAATTGATCATTATTTTACGGAATGAACATGAAGTTGTGTAAATAATCAAGGTGAGATTAAATATCAGCGATCGGATTATTAATAAGATAAAATAGCTATACCACTATGCATTGAATATCTTCACCAGCACCTGAACAGATCAGATTTGTACGCGGCCTACGACAGACACGTCGCCGACAGTGCCCGAAACGACTGACCTATCCAGCCTGATAACCATCCACGAGTTTTGAGACGGGGTTCAGCATCGTGACATGGCGAGACAGAAATGACTCCAAGCAAACCCGAATGAAAGGAAGCATCGTTCGGGCATCGCTATGACGACGTCCTTCATATCCCACATACGTCAGCTCAACAAGCATAAACACACAAACATGCACACAGACAGAAGCGGATGCACTCAGCCACTGGCCGCTTTAATTGTAATGCAGCCTTCCGGCAGCTTGACGTTTGTTCTTGTGCCAAGTGCACGTCAGGATCTTCACATACGTCCTCCGGAACGAGGCGTTACACAGGGCGTAGCAGAGCGGGTTCACGGTGGAGTTGATATAGCAGAGGTAGTAGGAAAAGTTCCACAGCTCATGCGGGATGCAGTCGTCACACTCCAACATTACTCGGATCAAAACCAGCACGTTGTATGGCGTCCATGTGATGATGAACGCTAGCAAGATGGCCGACAGCGTCTTGGCCGCCTTCCGGTCCTGCTTCTTCTCTTCGCGCTTCTTCTTTTTCTTGGGGTTGTGGATGCGCACCAGCTGTTTGGGGATGACGCGCGCGTTCAGCGGGATCCGAAAGTCGGGCAGCTGAGAGGGTCGGCGGGAGACGGGCGGCGGAGGCGGCAGCGGAAGACCTCCGTCCGAGCTCAGCTCGTCGTCGTCGGCGCGCGCTCGCCGGCTCGCCGCCCGGCTCAGGGGACAGTGTGGCTGGTGCGGGTCCGTCACATCCGTCACGCCGCTCACCTCCGTCACGGCAGACACGTCTGTCACAGCCGACACGCCCATGACGCGGCTGAGCGCCGGAGACTCGGGCTCACAGCGCATCGTGATGCTGCCCGAGTTGCCGGCCGCAGTCGGCGCCTCGGGCAGCTTGATGACGATCGTGTAGACCGAATCTCCAGACGGAGAGGGAGACGCACGCCCGAGCGCTCCGGCGCTACGATTCCTCCTGAGACTCCGGAGCGCCGGTAGAGGTGACGGTACCTCATGACGCCCGTAGCGGCTCAGGTAGGCCGTTCCGGCAGCTGTATCACTGCGGGTGTGACGCAGCTTCGGGTGGGGTTTAGGTGTGAGCAGGCGTGCTCCGCCGGCCAGAGCTAACCAGCGAGGTACTCCCGGTAGAGGTGTGTCTGTGGTGGTGGGCGTGCACAGGCCTGACAGCACGTGCCGACGACGACCGGACTCTCCTCGACACCAGGCGGCCACCCGCTGCCAACGCGTTGGCTCCACCTGCGGACAAACAGAATGGGAGTTACACACGAGGGATTCTTCTAGCTAAGCGACGTTTTAGATCAAAACCGGGTCTGCCCGGCTAGAACTAGAAAGTGCCGCCGCTGAGAATGGTCTAGCGCCGGTGGTATTTATATTTATATTGTAAATCGCTGGACAGGCATGTGGGGACTCCTACGGACGGAGGTGGTCGAGAGATCAACCCGGGGACAATGCTTGACAACGGTGACGAAGGAGGTTATCTCTGACCGATATTTGTTTTTGTTTCTGGGAGCCATAGGGTTTCTCCCAGCTAAGCCGAGCTTATTGCTGGTCGGGACCCGGTCTGCCCGGCTGGGACTAGTAATAACCGGGCGTGGAGTCTCATAGAGGCGCGTCTATCCCTGACCACCTCCTCTCCCAGAGGCTCGGATATTGTCTCCGCTCGGTCTGTCGGCCGACCGGCGGATGACTGCTGCCGCGTCCCGGGACCATCCGGAGAGAGCCGGACCCACCGATCAATGCTGCTGATAGACCGCTCTGACACGCCGCTTCAGTATGGATCGGGCGACCAGAGTGAACCATCAGCGATCGGCTCCCGTCGCGATCGGATCGCCTTAGTGCGCCATCGCGCTAACCAGCGCACACTTGTGCGCTTTGAGTCGGACACGAAGAGCGAACTGATGCTGCAATCCTGTGTGATTAGGTCATCATCTCTCGGCTGGTGTGTGGCCTGAAGCAGCACGCTGTTTCCATGCAGCCACCCCGTTACGCTCGACAGGCCAGTGCGGCTGTGAACCATCAGAGCACCTCGTGCCGGCCGCGCCGGTAGCGGCTGGACCGTAACGGCCCGGCCAGCCCGGCCTGCCAGAGACCATTACCACTTTAATGACAGACACTGAACCGCGTTATACCGCGACGACGGCCGACCAAAGCGAAAACGAAAATAAAAGTGAATGAGAGCCGCATCATGAAATGGTTATGACTTCTAAAATGGCTGACGGTGTGTTATAAATAACCCAGTATAGGCGTGGCTGAGCAAGCAGAATGCTTTATGTAGGCAAATGGAATACACGCTTATTCATAAAATTCAGCCCATTGAAACTTCTTCATCATATTATCATGTGAATGCAATTACGTATCCGCGTTTATATTGAGGCAAGGCCTCAGCAGTCAGCATGTGTCGCATAAATATCGCAATATCGCAGCATGTCATTGCGTCCTGTTGGTGAGATGTTAAGCGTCACAGTTGGCGTGCTTCAGGCTTGTTGCACTAGCTCTACAATTTGACGTTTTTTTTCATTTAATTTCAATGCGCAAAAACCACTTGATTTAAAAATGTTTTAAGAACGCCGTCGCGATCTTTTCAGAACCTTCATTATTTTACAAACCGTAACACAAATATGCCCTGCAGCCTTCCACAAATCAACAGAAGAACGCAGCCGCCGCGGTATTTCTGGCTGATTTTCTCTGCGCTCCAACCTGCCGCCTGCAGATCCACCAAACTGCGGTCCGCCTTTCTGCTCTGACGCACCGTGAAACAAAAGCCACATCTGTATGCTAACTAGGTGCGAGGAGAGGGACGCTTCAGGAGGCGCTCGAGCGCCGTCGGCAGCCGCCGCTGAGAGTCGGGCTATTTGTGGCGTCGCCCCAGGCGCCTCTGCAATATCTGCCGTCCGGCGGTGAGCACTGGCCTTCCGGTGCGCCGCCGAGCTGTCTCGTGGTCCGGCTGACCCAGTGCTGGCGCCCGCGCCGGCGGCGGCGGAGAGGGCAGCCGCGCCGGCACGACGCGGATGGTGTTTAGAGAATTAACAGCGATTTGAAGCTGTGAGTTTGTGGGGAGAAAGAAAGCTGAGAAGGTATATTTTATTTCAATAAATCGTTGATTGATTGATGATCATATTTTAGTTATGACGATGTAACGAAAGACTCAAGAAAATTTACACTTTGTTGATGGTCCGCATTTTTATCAACATTTTGAAAACAAGAAGAGACTTAGGTTTCAAAAGCCTTTTCGCTCAATCGGTGGTTCATTTGGTCGAATATCTTTAAAATGATTCCTGCATCTAGTAAACTGCTGATTCAGTATACGTTGTCTGACCTCGGGGACAGGGTCGGCCTTTTCCCCTGTGACCTGTTTGAGATCAGGCTGATTGCCGGGGACAGGCAGTCCATCCGTCTCCGAAACGGTGCATGTGCCGAGTACAAGTACTGGCTGACACCGGACTGAGGCCGGTCGAGGGCGATTAGCGCTGTCGGAAAACAGACGGCGGCATTCATCTCTGTGTCAGACAGACTGTCGGCCGCCGAGTTCAGCCCTCCAAACGACCCCAAATGAGTTCGGGTCAACCGCGCTCTGAGAAAATATGTCCATGACATACAAGATACCCTAATTCGAGGAATGTGAAATGGTTCAGTGTTCGAAAGCAGAAGTTATGTGTGCATTTAGTTACAATGGTTATTATTTTGGTTTTGGCCGTTTAGATTTTGTTTCAGCTTTTTGGTGATTTTTGAACCAGATGGATTTGATAGGTTTGATCAGGCTGCCTATCTGCGCTATGCCGAGTGTTTTCTTTGTCTTTTTTTTTTTGACAAAACTCACCTATTAGATAAGAATGTGGTGAATGTACTGTAAGATCCGCCCACCTGTTTGAAGAGTGTGGTTAGTTTCTTGTCAGAATTGCCCACCTGTTTGAAGACATGCGGTCAGCGGTGAGTTTGGTGTCGGAGCTGCCCACCCGTTTAAATAGTGTTTGTTTTGTTTTTGTTTTGTTGGGTTAGGCCCTTTCGGTCCAATTAGACCATTTCAGAGCCGGAAGGATGATAGGAATTAGGGGGAGACATTGGTCTGGGCAGGCACCCTAGTGAGTCGCCGGGGCTGAGCCCGTCCAGAGGACAGGCCACCCAGCCCCAAGGCACTCACTGCACCCGGCTACGGGGTGCGCTCCCTCGGGAGCAGCGGTGCCGCTCCAAGGGAGCAGCCCGCATGAGATAAAGTTGCCTGTCCAGCCCGGAGGGGGGTTGCGGCGTGGAGGAGAAGGACTTCAGTATCCTGAGGATAGAAGCATGGAACGGTCGTTAAATAGTGTAGTGAGTTTGGTGTCGAAACTGCTTACCTGTTTGAAGAGTGTGGTGAGTTTGGTGTCGGAACTGAGGCTATCCTCGCCCTCCCCTGAAGAGGCGTGCTCCAGGCGGCCCCGTCGAGTCGGCTCCGGAGTTACAGCGTAACTGTCTCCGGGCTCACTGCTGTAACGATAGACAGAATCCGGTCAGTCAAAGGGTCTCACTGATGTAGGTAACGGCGAACGGATGAAGGTCAGAGGAAACTGTCACCGAATTCAATGCCATGTGATCAATGATCATGGTAGACGGGAATGCTCAGTTCGATCAGGCCCATTACTGGACGGGTGCATTGGCTTTGAAATGCACATCCATTGAAGTGCATCAAGCCGATCAAGTCAAACGTAGCCGCGCGCCATGTAAGTCAGGTTAACATCGACGCTCGTCATACGTCAAGCGTCGACAGCGTCAAAAGTCGTAAGAATGCGGTCCGTCGGCGTACGACGGAGCCGAAGTGCCGTGGTGTCGGCCAGGCGCCCAACGTTGACCGAGTTCAAGTGTGTTCGACCAGGCGTGTGCAGCCTCCTTTGCAAACCAACAGTTGACCGTCTGTGACGTCGGTGATGTCAAACGCAACAGGGTCTAGACGGCGATGGCGTCTCGAGCGGTTAGAAGGAGAGCACGCGACCAAAACGCACCGCCGGGGATGGGTTTTAGAGCTGGCATTGGCTGCAATGAGGGCACGTATTTGTTCTTAACCGCATGCATCTGAACCATATTCTGGGGTGGAATCGCAAATTGTTTTGGTTTGCAATGCTTTCCGCTTTTTCTTTCTTTCTTTCTTTCTTTCTTTCTTTCTTTCTTTCTTTCTTTCTTTCTTTCTTTCTTTCTTTCTTTCTTTCTTTCTTTCTTTCTTTCTTTCTTTCTTTCTTTCTTTCTTTCTTTCTTTCTTTCTTTCTTTTCCGGCCTGCAATATGCATGCTGCAAAAATCGTTGCTCATAATGTCAGGCTCTGTCACACTTCATATGTCATCTGTTCGGGTTAACGGCGCATTTTGTCGGCTCCTCCAGCCATTCCTGACTTCTCAATCCTTTAGCTTCACCAGGGCATATTTTAACAAATTTTTACTGCGTCCCAAAGTTGAGCAGAGGCCACGCGCTACGACTATGTAAGGGCACAGGGCAAGGAACAGAGTAGGGCAGAAAGTGAGGAGGGCAGAAAGTAGGGCACGGCAGATTACAGAGCATGGCACAGGACATTTTAGAGGGAATGGTATAAGGTCAGGGCACACAGCAGGGCACAGGTCAGGGAACCGGACACTGCACAGGGTAGGGACGTAGTGGGCCAAATCAGCAGGGGCTACGTCCCAAGGCGAGGGGGCTGTGTCCCAGAATGGGACGCAGTAAGTGCCTTAAATATGCCCTGAGCTTCACCACTGATCCCGTCACATCTAACCCCACCTGTGATCCCTCCCCCCTATCCAGCCCACCACTTTCAGTTTCCTATGACCCCTCACCCCTGATCCCCTCACCCCTGATCCCCATACTCCTGCATCCGCTGCTCTCCGCTGATCCCGTCAGCTCTGATCCTCTCTCCCCTAATCCCCCCAGCTCTGCAGATTGCCCTCATCTCTGATCCGTCCTCGCGACGCCGCGTCTCCGGCAAGGATTAATTCAAAGCCGCCGCCACGGGCTGCGAGGTCGTTGTGGCTGGCTGCAGATAGCGGCCAAGCTCGTGAGACCCCGTTCGTTTTGGACCCGTCAACGCCCCCCCCCCCCTCCCCCCAGAGGTCGGTCACTGACCGCCCTGGTCTGGTCAAGGTCACTCCGCTGGCCACGAGACTGCAGGTGATTGAAAGATATCGCGAAATTGAAATCCACGTGCGAATCACAATGGGAATCGAGACGAATGGTCGAAGGCGCTTTAATAGAAATTGGACGGGTGCCGGGCAGGTAGGCGGAAATTACATCACGGCAGACAGGTCTTTCAGCACGGCCTTCATCAGGGCGTGAGAAGACCAGGAGAGACGGGTTCTCTATTTTGCATCACGGGTACTGGAGCCGAGAGGAAGTGGTGAGCCGGCACGTGGTTGACCGCACCTGGTCGGAAGGTTACCGTCGTACCGCTATCGTCCGGGACTGAGTGATAGACGAGTGGGGAAAAAAGGTGAGGGCAAGGAGAGGGAACGACATGGGATGTTCTGTAAGCTGTCCAATGTGAATGCTGCTGCGTCGCTCATAAACCATAATTTTTCAAATTTCTTTGTGTGCTTATACACCATGCATCTCGTACCACACTTCCACTTTTTGTTGAGCTTTTCTTACAGTAGCCCACCGATTTTCCCTGAAGTCTCTAAGTAATGCAATATCCGCGCGTCTCACATTCAAAATTCAGTTATCCGCTGGAGCGTCGTCGCCTGACATCGAATACCGCCTGGTACTCCTTCCCCCCCCCCCCCCCATAGAGATCTTATATATTACAGATCGACCTTTATACGAGTATGCTCCCCTCGACCTTTCTCTGATCGGTACAGAGAATAGGATGATGGTTTGAACTCTTGCTCTTCATCACGAGACAGACTCAAATAATCTCCAAACAAATCCGGATCAGCACCCGAAAACTCCGCTTCCAGCAAGCAACAGCTCAACGCCTTCTCTTCCGACTACCTACATCATACCAACTCTGCGCACCCTATTTTCAGGCAGAAACGCCTGACACAGATCAGCTCACCCTGCCCAGTGGAAGGCAGACACCCTCCCCTGTCACCCTTTGTTCGATACATCCTTCCTGCACCACAGACGACAACACAGCGACGGTCCGGGCCCCTGTGTCGTCTGACTGAGCGGCAGGATTCCCAGTGTAGGCGGAACAGTCCCTCCCTTCCTTCCGCGAGCGGCACTGACATAAAACAGGACATCCGGCCTACCGGGAACGTGACGTCACCGCCCGCCGAGTCGGCCCCAACAGCGGAATGTGCTGTCGATGGTACTGAAGTCACAGCAGTGCTGCTTATGGATGTTCCCATCGGCTGGGCGACCGGAAACGACTACAGCCGGGAAGTTGTTATCGCTGAACGGATGCTGATTATTCGAGGAACAGTGAGATAAAACACGACGGAAAGGCGGTTGACAGCGAGGTAGTATGGCGAGTTTGAGATAGCAGAAGTTTGGTTGTGTTTTGTTGCCTCCGGAACCCTTTAGCATCGAGCTGAATGAATGAAATCAAATATTCAGCATGCAATTTCGCATGAATAATGCTAGGCGACTGTTTATCAAAAATGATGGTTCTAGACATAGAGAAACGTGTGACTAGAGACTGTGAACTGTGCAGGGATGTCGCCTCTCTAGCTGATGTGATCTGACTCTTTCATCTAGCTTTGTGCAGCGTCGATTGTTATCGATAAGGGCATGTCTCATTTATTGCACCATTCTTGGAAGGACACCAGCTCCCTACTCACGCTCCCAATCTTTTCACCACTATTGACCTGCGGGCGTCAAACACTGAAAGCCCTGGGTGGCGTCGCCTTGTTCCATCTTCATTCGTATTCAATATTCATACTCCTGGCGTCTGGCCAGCGTCAATGGCGTCACGTTCCGCGCTCCTGCGCCAATGAATGTCGCGCCGCCGGAGGTGAGCAGTGGCGCAGCGCATTAGCCGCGTCTCGGCGCCGTCAATAACCCCACTAACAGTTGGCCCATACAGCTAATGACCAGCGGCGTCCGCTGAGCGGGCCGGGCGGCACTGCGCCGCGTACTCCACCGTCCCCACCGAACACTGTAATGATGCACATCATCATGTCCGAGGGTCCATTAGCTAAACGTCAGAGCGAAAAAAACAGCCCTGAGCGGGTGTAACCTATGGGCTATGTCAGCGGGCTCTGTGCAGATGACTAGAAGGATGTTATTAATCCACAGCAGAGAATATTGTTCTTTGATGCTAAGAAACTCTTGTTGGCTAATTTGGAAAGGATTTAGGCACACTATTGGTGGCGCTACATGCATTATCTTGAGAGCCAAGCTAAGGCAGTGCAAACAACAGCAGACCGCTGGTGTTGCCTGCAGAAGTGGAGCATGCTTTCAAGAATTCATCCCGGATTTTTTGCAGGGAGGCTCGCGGATCCCGGAACCGAATTTCTCCGGGGGCCAAGTCCGGGTCTGGGCTGAGAGAGGTGAGCCCAGTCCGGCTCCGGGCTGCCGGCGGCAGTTGAGCTGCACTGTGGCTGGACTCCCGGGGGAGGGGAGAGGAGGGGAGGGATCCAGCCTGTCCCCGCTCGGCCGACTGTGGCTGTGATGGATGATCAGTTCCGGTGCCGCCGCTGTCCCGCCCACGACCGTCGGGCAGGGCGGCCGTCGGGCAGAGCGACCGTGTCGGGCAGAGGGGCCGTCGCGTTGGTGAGAGCAGCCGTCGAGTCGGTTCAAGCTACCGTCAAGTCGGCAAGAGCTGCCGTCGCGTTAGTAATGTTGCAGGAGCCAAGGCGGTCACAGCCGCCCGTAACAGTAAGACCACCGCCCGTCGGTCAGAGAGGTCAGAGATTAACTGTCGGTCAGCAGGTCCATTGGTCAACTAAAAGGTCCAGCAGTCGACTAAAAGGTCCAGCGGTCGGTTAAAAGGTCCAGTGGTCGGCTAAAAGGTCCAGTGGTCGGCTAAAAGGTCCAGTAGTCGACTAGAGTGTCTGGTGGTCTGTCAGTCCGTCTCGGCTGCACCGACCATGGTTGTCCGTCAAAACAGCAGACAGTCGTGACTCGTGACATGACGTGGTTTAGATCGACGTGGTTTAGATCGACGGACAGTCGGACTGGGAGACTGTTGCGTGGTAAGTGTGGCGGCCCGCGGTGGTCAGTCAGAAGGTCCGGTGGTTGATTACAGCGGTAGGCGGCTGGTCAGAGCCGAAGACCGTGATAGACCACAGTAATAGGCTGGTTAGGGCGGTCGATCATCGCTTAGAGCAGCAGGCGGTTGGCAAGGGCCTGATGCCCGGTGCCTGGTGTCTGGAGCCAGAGGGGGAGGGAGGGGCGGTCAGCGCACCCGTCGTTCCCAGTCCCAGCTCGCGGAAGCAGCCCGGCGAGGGTCGGCTTGCCTGAATGGGCCGGGTGATATAACCGGGACGCAAATATCTACTGCCGCATCGATACAGTCGTGGCAGGCGCAGCTAGGCGCATTGAGTTCCCCATGGAAACGGAGACGGAGCAGCATCCCCGCGAAATAACCAGAGATATATAAACCCGTCTACTCAGCCGTGGCTTTGGATATTATTGGGTGCAGCGAAGGTTAGCACACAATGGCGAACAATTTCAATAAAGGCGGGATATTATTGCATATGGTGGTGCCTTTGAAGTTCTGGCCGACAAATCGCCCCTAATTGCTGCCGGAGGCCGGATAATTTCATCAGAGAATATCGTATTGGCTAGGGCCCCGGCAGCAGGAGGAACAATGCTGATGCATTGTTCCTCGTTTCATAACCAACTTCCAAGATTAGCAAGCTCTCCCTTCTAACAGAGTTGTTATGTATCTGAACTTCTTTATTCTTACATTGCCCATTTCCGTAGACAGAATTAGAAATAGGGCAGCTACAGAAAGTGTGTTTCTAAATCAGCAACCAGTTTGATTGGCTTCGATAAACTAAGTTTTTTTAATACATGCTGCATTTAACCAAAGCATTGAACTTTGAAGCACAGCCGCCTCAAAAATTATAGCCAGCAGGCAGCAGACGTGTTTCCAGGACCAGGACAGACTGAGGCCGAGCAGGCCATTGCCTCATCTCTGGAGGCCGATTTAGCTGGGATGCACGGCCCTCACTTCTGCAGGAGTGAAATTCCGCCCGTCACTGACTTGCTGTAGTACCCCAGGGACCGAATATGACCTGCTGTTGGGCACCGGGAACATATGAGGTTACTGACCTGCTGCTTGCAGCCCAGAGACTGGCTATGACCCGGTGTTAAATCTTGGAAGATAGCATAGCGTTGGAGCTCAGGCACAGTCTATGACTTACTTGCCATTGGACTTCCTGCTGTTATTAGCCGTTTTCAAGAAGGCTATCTGGTACATATGTGATTCACATTTGGTGCAAATTTGGTGCAGATTTGGTCAAATTGGGTTCAAGGTGTTTCTTATAAGCTATCATCTTGGGCTGCACGGCTGCTTATATGCCTGCTGTTTCAAATCATTAGACATTATTTTCGATTAAAACACTACAATAAATTCATGATATACAGATAATTGTTGTAGAAGAGATTTGGTGTAGATATGGTCAAGTTTGGTGCATTCGCCCGGTAACCCGTCGTGAAAACGGCTATTATTGACCTACCCGCCGCTGGATCTCCTGCTGCTGTTGACCTACCTGCTGTTGGATTTCCTGCTACTGTTGACTTACCTGCTGTTGGACCTCCTGCTGCTGTTCTTGCCGGCCTGCAGGTGGGTCAGATCCCGCTGCCGCTGCTCCGTCTCCAGCCATATCCGGTAGTAGAGTCCACACATGATCAGCACCGGCAGGTAGAACGCAGCAATCGCCGTCCCGAACGTCCAGTAGTGGTTCGTTTGCAGGAACTGGATGTAACACTCGTCCGGCTCCACGGTTCGCTTGCCCTCGATGTACGGCCACGCGTAGATCCAGGGCGGCCACAGGACCAGGGAGATGCCCCAGGCGCAGGCGATCATTGCTGCCGCTCGCCGGTTCGTGCGCCGTGCTCGGTATGTCAGCGGACGCGTCACAGAGAAGTACCGGTCGAAACTGATGATGAGGAGGTTCAACACGGAAGCGTTCGACGCCAAGTAGTCCAGTGATAACCACGTATCACAGACCACCGGTCCCATCACCCATTTTCCCATCACCTGATACACGGTGAACAACGGCATCGAGATAAGTCCGATCGCAAAATCAGCCACCGCCAGACTGAACAGAAAGTAGTTGCTGATGGTCTGCAACTGCTTGTCGATGTGGAACGACACCATCACCATGATGTTGCCGACCACGGTGATGGAGATGAGCACGCCAGCCACGATGACAATGAGAGCCGTTTGGGTGGCCGAGTAGATGGCTCCCAGACTGCCGGTGTCCGTGCCGTTGTCAGCCGAGGTCATGTTGAGGTCAGCTGGGTCGGAGGTGAGCAGGGGTGGCAGCAGGGTGGTCCCCGCTGGCCATGACTCGGCTGCCAGAGGTGGGTACATCTCTGACCCTGCCATGATGCGCTGACGCCAACAGCACCTGCCGGAGAGAGGACGGACGGTCAGCGGTGTGGTGGTACGATAGAGAGGGAGAGAGAGAAAGAGGGAGAGAGAGAGAGAGAGAGAGGAGAGAGAGAGAGAGAGAGAGAGAGAGAGAGAGAGAGAGAGAGAGAGAGAGAGAGAGAGAGAGACAGACAGACAGACAGACAGACAGACAGACAGACAGACAGACAGACAGACAGACAGACAGACAGACAGACAGACAGACAGACAGACAGACAGGCAGACAGGCAGACAGACAGACAGACAGGCAGACAGGCAGACAGACAGACAGACAGACAGACAGACAGACAGACAGACAGACAGACAGACAGACAGACAGACAGACAGACAGGCAGGCAGGCAGGCAGGCAGGCAGGCAGGCAGGCAGGCAGGCAGGCAGGCAGGCAGGCAGGCAGGCAGGCAGGCAGGCAGGCAGGCAGGCAGGCAGGCAGGCAGGCAGGCAGGCAGGCAGGCAGGCAGGCAGGCAGGCAGGCAGGCAGGCAGGCAGGCAGGCAGGCAGGCAGGCAGGCAGGCAGGCAGGCAGGCAGGCAGGCAGGCAGGCAGGCAGGCAGGCAGGCAGGCAGGCAGGCAGGCAGGCAGGCAGGCAGGCAGGCAGGCAGGCAGGCAGGCAGGCAGGCAGGCAGGCAGGCAGGCAGGCAGGCAGGCAGGCAGGCAGGCAGGCAGGCAGGCAGGCAGGCAGGCAGGCAGGCAGGCAGGCAGGCAGGCAGGCAGGCAGGCAGGCAGGCAGGCAGGCAGGCAGGCAGGCAGGCAGGCAGGCAGGCAGGCAGGCAGGCAGGCAGGCAGGCAGGCAGGCAGGCAGGCAGGCAGGCAGGCAGGCAGGCAGGCAGGCAGGCAGGCAGGCAGGCAGGCAGGCAGGCAGGCAGGCAGGCAGGCAGGCAGGCAGGCAGGCAGGCAGGCAGGCAGGCAGGCAGGCAGGCAGGCAGGCAGGCAGGCAGGCAGGCAGGCAGGCAGGCAGGCAGGCAGGCAGGCAGGCAGGCAGGCAGGCAGGCAGGCAGGCAGGCAGGCAGGCAGGCAGGCAGGCAGGCAGGCAGGCAGGCAGGCAGGCAGGCAGGCAGGCAGGCAGGCAGGCAGGCAGGCAGGCAGGCAGGCAGGCAGGCAGGCAGGCAGGCAGGCAGGCAGGCAGGCAGGCAGGCAGGCAGGCAGGCAGGCAGGCAGGCAGGCAGGCAGGCAGGCAGGCAGGCAGGCAGGCAGGCAGGCAGGCAGGCAGGCAGGCAGGCAGGCAGGCAGGCAGGCAGGCAGGCAGGCAGGCAGGCAGGCAGGCAGGCAGGCAGGCAGGCAGGCAGGCAGGCAGGCAGGCAGGCAGGCAGGCAGGCAGGCAGGCAGGCAGGCAGGCAGGCAGGCAGGCAGGCAGGCAGGCAGGCAGGCAGGCAGGCAGGCAGGCAGGCAGGCAGGCAGGCAGGCAGGCAGGCAGGCAGGCAGGCAGGCAGGCAGGCAGGCAGGCAGGCAGGCAGGCAGGCAGGCAGGCAGGCAGGCAGGCAGGCAGGCAGGCAGGCAGGCAGGCAGGCAGGCAGGCAGGCAGGCAGGCAGGCAGGCAGGCAGGCAGGCAGGCAGGCAGGCAGGCAGGCAGGCAGGCAGGCAGGCAGGCAGGCAGGCAGGCAGGCAGGCAGGCAGGCAGGCAGGCAGGCAGGCAGGCAGGCAGGCAGGCAGGCAGGCAGGCAGGCAGGCAGGCAGGCAGGCAGGCAGGCAGGCAGGCAGGCAGGCAGGCAGGCAGGCAGGCAGGCAGGCAGGCAGGCAGGCAGGCAGGCAGGCAGGCAGGCAGGCAGGCAGGCAGGCAGGCAGGCAGGCAGGCAGGCAGGCAGGCAGGCAGGCAGGCAGGCAGGCAGGCAGGCAGGCAGGCAGGCAGGCAGGCAGGCAGGCAGGCAGGCAGGCAGGCAGGCAGGCAGGCAGGCAGGCAGGCAGGCAGGCAGGCAGGCAGGCAGGCAGGCAGGCAGGCAGGCAGGCAGGCAGGCAGGCAGGCAGGCAGGCAGGCAGGCAGGCAGGCAGGCAGGCAGGCAGGCAGGCAGGCAGGCAGGCAGGCAGGCAGGCAGGCAGGCAGGCAGGCAGGCAGGCAGGCAGGCAGGCAGGCAGGCAGGCAGGCAGGCAGGCAGGCAGGCAGGCAGGCAGGCAGGCAGGCAGGCAGGCAGGCAGGCAGGCAGGCAGGCAGGCAGGCAGGCAGGCAGGCAGGCAGGCAGGCAGGCAGGCAGGCAGGCAGGCAGGCAGGCAGGCAGGCAGGCAGGCAGGCAGGCAGGCAGGCAGGCAGGCAGGCAGGCAGGCAGGCAGGCAGGCAGGCAGGCAGGCAGGCAGGCAGGCAGGCAGGCAGGCAGGCAGGCAGGCAGGCAGGCAGGCAGGCAGGCAGGCAGGCAGGCAGGCAGGCAGGCAGGCAGGCAGGCAGGCAGGCAGGCAGGCAGGCAGGCAGGCAGGCAGGCAGGCAGGCAGGCAGGCAGGCAGGCAGGCAGGCAGGCAGGCAGGCAGGCAGGCAGGCAGGCAGGCAGGCAGGCAGGCAGGCAGGCAGGCAGGCAGGCAGGCAGGCAGGCAGGCAGGCAGGCAGGCAGGCAGGCAGGCAGGCAGGCAGGCAGGCAGGCAGGCAGGCAGGCAGGCAGGCAGGCAGGCAGGCAGGCAGGCAGGCAGGCAGGCAGGCAGGCAGGCAGGCAGGCAGGCAGGCAGGCAGGCAGGCAGGCAGGCAGGCAGGCAGGCAGGCAGGCAGGCAGGCAGGCAGGCAGGCAGGCAGGCAGGCAGGCAGGCAGGCAGGCAGGCAGGCAGGCAGGCAGGCAGGCAGGCAGGCAGGCAGGCAGGCAGGCAGGCAGGCAGGCAGGCAGGCAGGCAGGCAGGCAGGCAGGCAGGCAGGGCAGACAGACAGACAGGACAGGACAGCCAGGCAGGCAGACAGACAGACAGACAGACAGACAGACAGACAGACAGACAGACAGACAGACAGACAGACAGACAGACAGACAGACAGACAGACAGACAGACAGACAGACAGACAGACAGACAGACAGACAGACAGACAGACAGACAGACAGACAGACAGACAGACAGACAGACAGACAGACAGACAGACAGACAGACAGACAGACAGACAGACAGACAGACAGACAGACAGACAGACAGACAGACAGACAGACAGACAGACAGACAGACAGACAGACAGACAGACAGACAGACAGACAGACAGACAGACAGACAGACAGACAGACAGACAGACAGACAGACAGACAGACAGACAGACAGACAGACAGACAGACAGACAGACAGACAGACAGACAGACAGACAGACAGACAGACAGACAGACAGACAGACAGACAGACAGACAGACAGACAGACAGACAGACAGACAGACAGACAGACAGACAGACAGACAGACAGACAGACAGACAGACAGACAGACAGACAGACAGACAGACAGACAGACAGACAGACAGACAGACAGACAGACAGACAGACAGACAGACAGACAGACAGACAGACAGACAGACAGACAGACAGACAGACAGACAGACAGACAGACAGACAGACAGACAGACAGACAGACAGACAGACAGACAGACAGACAGACAGACAGACAGACAGACAGACAGACAGACAGACAGACAGACAGACAGACAGACAGACAGACAGACAGACAGACAGACAGACAGACAGACAGACAGACAGACAGACAGACAGACAGACAGACAGACAGACAGACAGACAGACAGACAGACAGACAGACAGACAGACAGACAGACAGACAGACAGACAGACAGACAGACAGACAGACAGACAGACAGACAGACAGACAGACAGACAGACAGACAGACAGACAGACAGACAGACAGACAGACAGACAGACAGACAGACGGACAGAGAGACAGACAGACAGACAGACAGAGAAAGAGAGAGGGAAGAGGGAAAGGGAGATAGAGAGAGAGAGAGGGAGAGGGAAAAGGAGAGAGAGAATGAGAAAGAGAGTGAGTGATGAAGAGAGAAAAAGGTAATCAAGTGACGCAAGTGAGAGAGAAAAAGTAACGCAGGGAAGATAGAGAAGGGAAGAGCAAAGACTTCAAGGTAAATTAAGAAAGAAGTTGGGAACATCGCGGGTGAGAGCGAAAGTTAAGAGAAGATAATAGTGCTCGAATAAGAGTGTGGAAATTGGCCTTTATTCTGAACCGTCTGGTCCGAGTTTCGACAAAGAGCTGCGAGCGGGTGAGAGCAGTGAGACATCGGCCGCGCTGTTCCCAAGGGAGCTCCGCTGGGCGCGCCAATGTCGTGAAGGAAGAGAAATTGTCTGTGAAGCGTCTCCGGGCCGCGAGGGATGCGACTTCGCCTGCCGCGGGTTGCTGACGAGGCAGCGGAAAAAGGTGGGACGGTCGACGGCGTAATGTCACCAGCCGCTGCGCCGCCACGCTAACCGCAGCTGAGGCCCACAGGGGTTAATGTCAAAAAATGGCAGCACGTTGAAAAAAAAAACACATAAGGCTCATGCAATAAACGTGGGGCATATGATATTATTTAGAGAACTACTTGCAAAAACGATATTGCCTGGTGGACTACGTTCACTTCGTTTTGTTATACAAGATGTTACATCTGACCCGCTCTGTCGAGCAGCCGAGCTCAGTATGGTAGTGCCAGCGTCCCATCATCGTCTGCAGCTGCCTTACTCATCCCGCTAACAAGGTTTTTTTTCATCGGCTTTAGCTGATGTAAGTACTATGTAAATAGTTGCCAACACAGTGCGGAGGTAAGCAACCACCATCCACCAAAAGCTGAGGTGGTGCTGATTCATCTTGGATCAGCCAGAAGTTACATGTGCGAATGATTTCTGGGTTGCCGCTGTTCGGTTACCATGGGAAGTCACAAGGCTAGGTTTGGCATGACTATTTAATGCCTATTTAGGATGAGGTCCTTTGCTGTTGAGGTCCTCCTTTGCAATGTTTTTCCACATTTTTATGCATCTCAACAGATCATGCAGCGATATTTATGTTTTTAAGGCTACGAGCACCTGTGTATCA